GAGTTCACCATTTCAACGGTGGAACGGTCGGATTTTGTCAGTAACCATAAAATGCCGAATAATCGTACTTAACTCGTTAAATATCAAAGTTAGAAGAAAAACAACTTTTATTTAATGCATTTTTGTGCCTACAACTTCTGTATAAAAAACTTTTCGTCAGCGTCAATACTTAATTGGATATTTCCTTCTACACTTTTTAGCACGTAGCTATTTATTATTAGCATTATTCTTCCGACGTCTGATTTCTTTTTAATTATAGGAAATGCGTTTATCTAAAGTACATAAACTTTTGGGATTGACTGTATAGCCAATACATCCTTAAAGCATGATCGACTGGATGGCTCGCGAGGATCGGCTTTCACTGTCGTGGAAGACGTATTGGATTCGCTGTTCATCTTGTTTCCACCGAAACGGTTTATTCGGCTTTCCCTTTTCTGAACTCGGGCGATGAACTATCTACCTTATCGTTTGAAAAAATACTTGTAGGAAGTTCCTTATCAAAAGATTTTTCTATGAAGCTAAATACGCACTACGAATGCCTCGCGAAACCCTCCTAGCTCGAAAGAACGACGTATCGGGTGTATTTGAAATGACTTACTCGACGCGGTGCTGCATCTTCTGGACGCGCTCCATGTTTCGTATTCAATTAATTAAATCGAGGAACCGAGCGTGTTCGATAAGAAATGCGACAGAACGTAGGTAGCTGGCCATTTTATACGAAACTACAGCAATTATTCGTGTCGAAGCTGATGAGTGTCGTCCAATATCGCCCTCGCAGTAGTGCATTCTCCCACTACCTGTACCAAGGTTTATTGTGCATATGGTGGTTATCTTGTAATCGTCCATGTCCGCTCTCTTTCTTACTCATATGTTTAATAATAATAAATATTCACCATTATCACCGTCTTCAGTGGTGGCTTATATACGAAGTACATAGTTGCGGTTGTGCCATGAATAATGGTACCTTTTTCAAAACGTGAGTTCGTTTATCTACTTATGAGGAAGGATAGACACTTATTGTAATTTCAATAAATACTCTATTAAACGCCATTCATGTGTTACATAATAATCGTTTATAACGTATTCGTAGCGCGTAATGATATTCAGTGACAATTAATTAATACAAATAAATCGTAAATAATAGCGTCTCAACTAATATTATTTGTTTGCTCAGGTGTACATCTTCCGTTTTGCATATTCGTTTTCGCCCACGTGCGAACGTGACTATATACCTATTACGCTTAAAGAGGGACGCGTTCCGACAGAAGTTACAACGGAATAAACGAGATTTATATAATATATGGCATACTACAGAATACTCTCATCGGGTGATTCAGAAAAATGTCTAGTTTGCTACCTCAATCTCTCTCTCTCTCTCTCTCGTTTGCTACCTCAATCTCTCTCTCTCTCGCACGCTGTCACACTCTCTCCCTCTCTCTCTCTCGCGTTACTTTCTCGTTTTAAACAAAATATTTCCGCTAAAGGCTGTCGACTTTACACAGGTTCCTCCAGGGTGACGGGTCTCTCAACGCGTCCGATGCCGATGATCGATTTCCCTCGCGCGATGGAACGAAGCCGAACGTGACGAACAAATCAATGATATGTGTGAGTACAATTTACCTAACTAAGTAAGTGTCTAATCGTTATTTACAATATCGCACAATGGCGAAATTCAGAGAAAAATCCAGCCTCAACTAATTGCGAGTGAAGCTAAATAAACGGCGGCAGCGAACGCGTCAACAGCCCGAAACATTATAGTTATAGCGTTCGCTTTTTCTGTCTCCTTCGCTAGCCCACAGGGGAGAGTTTACACTGATCGCTACTGCCCTAGAATTTCTCGATAAAATATGTTATATATGTATATGTAATATTGTCCTGTTACGCTCGATCACCAGTAAGTTTACGCGAACACCCGCTTACGCAACGATGAGACGCGGTTTCACCCCTTTAGAACGGAAAAAGCTGAAGCTTCGAAAGAATACGTTCGTTCCATCTTGCCCTCGAGCCTGAAGAGGATCACGATGCACGTCGACGTTCGCGCGAAACGAGGCCCCGTCAGTTCGCACGTTAACGAATCTTTCCACCGGGGGGGCGGGAGGTAGGGAGATCGCCCCCTTAAACTTAATGGTGACCAGTTATCGTCTCGCGTGACCCGTTAATTGAACAGTTTATGATCTAGTTCACCTATGGCCGTTACCCCCGGAAAACGCCGACTCCTACGACCGTGTATTGTACAAGAACGCTATAGCTACGTAAGACTTTGAATCAGGGGTGTGCACGAATTCCTCTTGGAACGTCTAATCGATACAGGTATTTCGTGGCAGGTCTTCAATTCTCTCGGGTATGATTTTGTGCATGGTCCAATGTGAAACAAACGTCCGCGCACCCCTGAGACTTTTCGCATTCTCACTCTCATTCTCTCTCTTTCCATAGTCTTCACTCGTATTATCCCTCGCGTTAAAAGTGAACGAACCGCAAACGCCTCGCGTATTTTACAAAAACTGAAACCAGGAGAATCGATACGAAACACAGGATCGTGTGAGGTCTCAGTTAGACCACGGAAGAGTCGTTCTCGCCTCGCTCCTCATCTCTCTAGGCTCTGCCTGTGTTTGCCTCGACGCTCGGCCGCGAAAGAGTGCTCACGGGCGCGACCACGGAGACCACGAAGTGAAACGAGCTTCTTACAGTCTCGTCTTCCTTCGGTTCGAATCTCGTGCAGCCACACGAACCGTGGAAATTAAAGGGGGGTAACATTCGCGGGGGTGGCTGCACGCTGAAAGCGACGATGAAATGAATCCCGAATTAGACCTTCGAACAGGAATTATTGACTATGTTAAATAGTACCATACTGTAATCGTAGATCCGCGTAATTACATTCATCATAATTTATCGTATGAGTATCATAAACCTTAGCTCGTGTACGTAATAGTTCGTTATCTTTCTTTTTTTCTCTCGTTTAATTACCTAATTAAGACAGTACGGAACGGTATAAGGGTCGAGAACATTAGTGAGACCACCTGACACTCCGTTCATTCTCACCCACGCTCGCTTTCACTCGCGCACGCTAAATATTTATATATAATATATCGTGTGTGTGTGTGTGATGATATAATTATCGTGTATATACAAAGTGGGTGCGGGAAGTCGCTTCCTATTTTGAACGTCGCACCTCCTAAAATGTACGAGACACTTCGCATTCGAATAAATAATAAATTCTTCGGCCTTTCGATATATTACAGGAAATCTAAGGTTTTCGTAACGCGAAAGCGACTTCTCGCCCAGCCCGTATATAGCGTTTAATACTTTAACAGAGGATACGTCGTAACTGCTTCAGCGCCCTGAGTCAAAATCAAGAGATATATGCATCCAAAGTAGAATGAAACGAAGAGCGACACGGGTCCGCCGTTATTAGGATTTATGTCATATACATTTATTTGTATATATATATATTTATATATAATAATATCTATTTCCTTGAACGTTGCATCTTTCTCTCTTCCGCGCTGGGGACACGTACGCACCTGCACAAGTGTCGCACGCGCGTGTGCACGTGTATACGCTTGGAGACGGGCAGACACGTTTTAAATGCTATGAATCATCGGCCGAATACATAGAATTCGTTATCGCGACGTAATTACGTTTAGAATTGTCACGACAAAAGACCAACGCGCGGACTCCTCTATCAGAGAGATTTCTCGATTCGCACAACAAATTCTTTAGACTCTCCTGCACCGAAGAGATTCCCATCTTCCGTATCGAAACGTAAAGCTCGGTATGGAACTAGTTTTGGACCACCTGCCGACTCCTTCTCGTCCCGCGTTCATTCATCCTCTCTTACACACACACACGCAGAGACACGCGCACCCTCTCCCTTTATTCGACGTGTTCAGGGAGCGACTAACGTCGATGCATTACTATCACAGTCAACTCGTTCACGTCTCATGGAATTCTAAACGCAATACGACGACCCATAATATTTTTGTTCTTTTCTTAATTTTTTTTTTCTGTAACTCGCTAAGCTCTCTATGATAATAATTTTCTTAGTCGCCTCGTAAGACTGTGTGTTCGTGCGTGATCGTTTTTCTGTGTGTGTGTATGCTACGCGTATTTCGTAAGGCAACCGCTGTTAAACTGAGTAAACTCGTGTATGCGATTATACTCGATCAGCAGTAGAAATATATATATTATATATGTATATTAATGCGGGAATTAATCCAGCGCCGTCGCGTTTCCCGAAGGACGACGCACTCCTCCTCGTTTTCTTCTTCGTGTCGTTCTGCGGGGACGGGCCGGCTCGTTTTGGATGACGTAGAATAACGAGAGCAAGCAGGGCATATTTCCTAGGCATTATTACACGGTATTTACAGTTGGTGCTTCGTCTGCCCGGTTCCGCTCAGACGTCCTGCGAACAAAGTCATTTTGATTCGCAATCGAGATCGTAAGAACAGTACTCAGAGAAACGGGGGGCCGAGTCATTTTTCTAACAGGTACGTGCTGTTTCGATCGAGTGCGAAGTTAACTAGATAACTGGTGCAATTAGTAAATGAACTTGGTGTGAATGTACTTCGATAATCGAAAACTTGTGCGAGTATGTTAGACACGCTCATATCGCGAGTGACTCTGTTCGAAAGCCTGTTAGGAGTATCCGAGAGTCGATTCACACAATCATGCCAATATTAACATATTAATCACGAACATACGAGTACAGTTAATCACTTTACGCGCTCATCGTACGTGGCTCCTTTTCTCATATAAAAAAAAAAAAGAGTAAAATATTCTAACTATGTACATCCTAAACGCGGACATCGAAACACGTCGACTCCCTGTCCTCTCTGTCGACTAGCAAATAGGTATACCTAATCTCTTCACAGGGCACCGAACGGATCGAGTTGGACTTGATTATTTCGTGGCTGCGCGGCAGCCTGAGGCGGCTGCTGCTGCGGCTGCTGTTGCGGTTGCTGTTGGAGATTAGTACCCATCATGGGATTCGCGTTGGGCATCATCATCGGCGCGGCGCCTCCTGCGACCATCATACCGCCGGGACCGCCAGGCATTGTACTCATCATCGGCCTCATACCCTGCATGCCCATCGGCACGCCTTGCATCCCCTAAGCACATCAGAAAGCCGCCTGATGAATTTCTCTTTTACCATTTCGAGTCCAACTCTTCTCTATTTTCGTCTCCGCGTTCCGAACTCCCGGAGCCGATCCTTCCGGCTTTTGAGAACGGATTTTACGTGGATCTTTGGATACGCGTAGGGGCAGATAGAAACGTATATACAGTAGAACAATTCCACGGTATAGGAGAGAATTGGAACACTATTTATTTATAGAAAAACGTTAACCGGCTGTTTCTCATATTAACTCTCTTACTGTTCTCTTTTATACCGTGACAATTCATTGAAACGACAAATTAGGAGCTGGATGGAATCAAACACTCAAGTGCATCATACATACGATTCAATGCGAAGCTGGAACGTGGAACATAGCTAGGGCAATATTAACGGTTCCTTCGATAAAAAACTGAGTGACCCTGTCTTTTGCTCTGTACATCGAGTTAGTGACGACAGAAAGAGAAACAGAGTTATGTACAGCAGACCTTCGAGATCAAGCGACAACGTTTCTTAATACTCTGTTTTACTGAGAACAACTTACCAGTGGCGCGGTATGGGGAGGGAAGCCCAGGGTGGTTGCAGGAAGTTGCGTCATTCCTTGACCCTGTAACAGCAGGTAGCATGCCGTATGCCATGCATGCGTAATACAGCTAAAGTGTATGGAATCGTATACCGACTAATAAACTCTAACGACTCGTTTTGTACTAAATAAGAAAAAAAAAACAACTGGATTCGAACAGAGGGTGGCTCGTTCGTGTTCGATGCGTGGGTGACACGATGCGAGTGTGCGACACGCGTGACGGGAGCTGAGTGCAACGTAATTGAACTTTAAGCGTGCCGACAGCCTGAGATCGTGAACGTGCTACGTCCCCGTCACTGATCTCGCTTATCGATCATACTTGTACGTTTTCTAAACGAGAACAGGAACAAGCGGGACACGGAGATATCACTATATTATAATAAACGATCCGATAAGGATTAAGAATACCATGCGACGGTCGAACGGGACGTAGATAAATCTATCGACTCGTATCGGGAGGGTATTTATCGGGATTGACGACACCGATCGATGCAGGAAGTACGCTGCATCGGACTCACCATTGGGCGATAGCCCGCGCCGGTGGTCGCTGCCATCGGCTGCGGTGTCCATCCCCCTGCCGGGCCGCCGGTCTTGGCGGCGTTCTTAGGCGAGTTCCACTGCATTCCCCTGGAGCAAGCAACAAAAGTTACGACACCGCGACTTTCCCTCCCTCTCCCGTTTCTCAGAAATTTAAGCTTACTTTACTTGTGGCTGTGCACTTTTGTTGATCGTCAGATTTTGGGCCAGGCTGGCGAGGCTGCTGTCGAGATCACCGGTGAGCACCTTGCCGGTAGCCGCCGCGTTCTGTTGTTGTCCTGCTGCTGAAATATTATTATCTCCAGCTACAGCGGTAGGCGTCAGCGTCGTACCGAAACCGTCAAAACCTAAGCAATATCTACGTCAGCCAAAGCCCCGAAAAGCAAAACCCAAGATACGATTCGCGCGTTTTTACAGCACATTCAACGATACACCGATAACAACGCAAGAGAGAAAGAACATGGATCTTAATACGAACGGTAATACTTCTCGAGATTCATCTTCCTGAGTAGAACCCATGCTCTTTCTTAACTACGTAAAATGTACACGTGCGTACAGTACGGACTGTAATCGACTTACTCGCCTCTACGGAAACAAATCTCAGACGTGGAAAAATATAAAAAGTACGGAGAAATATAAATGTACGTAGCAACGAGTGACTCTGTTCGTGACGCTCTTACATGGTCCATTGAACATGGTATGTGTACGGTGCATTGCTTAAAAACTACGGTCCATCGTCTGTGTAGTGAGTCAGAAAAAAGCATGCAAGCTTAGCGGGTCGAACGATTCTAGTGATCGAAAAGAAATTGGCGATGCTGTACCCCAACGCTAATTACAAGATACACGACTCTACGCGAATACCCGATCGATTGTGATTGATACATGAGATCGAGACATGAACCAAGCGGCAGGCTGATTCCTCTCGCGTGCAAGTTAAACACGCATGCAACGAACACGTTCCGTCTATGCATTATTCCCGTCACCTGAGATCGGCTGCTTCGCCGGGGAACCGTACCCCCCCGAAGGAATTGGGACTGGCATACCGCCCATCGGGACCTTAACGCGGGACATCACCGGCATGCCGCCGGCCGTCATTTCGTACATCCCGTAACCCTGTTGCTGTTGCGCTTCTTGCGTTTGCTGTTGCTGAGCGACGGGTGCCGGCCTCGACGGGGACCCGCCCAGTGCCATACGAATGCTGTCGTTTAAATCTTCGAACGCGCTCTTGCTGGGAGCGGCGGTCGTCGCCGGTTGCTGGCCAGATTTACCGGCCGCCGCCGGTGACGATGGTCTCGGCGTACCGTTCGTCGCTGTCGCGGGAGGCGGCGGTCTGGGAGGCGGCGTGGCAGTGGACTTACCGGAGGTCATGGCCGCGGAGGCGGCCGCATCCGGGACGGCAGCCTCCCCACCGGCGACCTCGCCGGTCTTGATCACTGCTGAGTCGCTCCCAAAGAGGTCTGCCTGACCGCTGCCAGCACTGAACAGGTCCCCGGCCTGAGATTGTTGCTGGCCGTCGGCCGTATTCGCGGCACCCTGCTCGAAGAGACCGAAAGCGGCTGCGTTTGATGCCGGTTGTTGCGTTGACTGTTGGGAACCGAGGGATGGGAAGTCGGACATGAATGGGTTCGGTACGGATCCGGCCGTTCCTGGGGCACCAGCTTGCGCAGAAATTAAGGTGCGTCGATTATTAGCGTTATTCCTTGGCTCGGAGGGGATTAACTGGTTATGGTGGGTGGTGCTGCCTTTGCTCTCTCTGTTAACCGTCGTCGTGCCTCCGTTCTAAGTCGCGTGCACGCTAGTTCGTTTGTTCGAAGAGACTAGATGATCGTGTACACGCTCCACGATAAAGTCTTCGATCGGAGACGAGATGTACGAGCGGACCGACGGAACATTCTGTGTACTGAATGGACGAAACTCGAATCAGCTTTATCTTCTTCCATAAAACGACAAGTCTCGCTCGTACACCTCGTTTCACGTATCGTTCCGAACTTTATCGTCGCGCGTGGCTCGTGCATCGGTGGTAAGAAGCGTGGGTTCGTCGAAGCACGCGTGCTTCTTACCACGGTCTAACTAACTTGGTAAGATGCATAAGTATATGATACAAAGTCGAAGCGAGAGATCCTTCGCCATAGAGAAAGACGGATATGTACACATACAACGTGACCGTGAACAAGAGTAAGAGAGGAAGAAACAGTGCACGAAGAGAATTAAAAGTGTACGGAATAGAAATGGTATCGAGTGCTCACCGGCTTGCGAGTCTTGATTACCGAACACGGAGGAGAAGCTGTTATCTGTAACAAAGTTATTATTTGCCGGGGGCACTGCCGCAAAACCTACAAACGAAAAAAAACAAAAGTACATCGATGACGGAACGTAAAAGGATGATCGCGAGACGAAATACGATGAACGAAAACGAACGACGAACGATCAGAATGAGAAAACGAAACGAACGAGAACTATATTATTTACCGTTACCGTTAGTCATCCACATATTGCTCTGCGGTTGCGTGGTAACCGGCGCGGCCGCGGGTTGAGCCGCGCCGAACATATCCGCGAAAGGATTGCCCGCTAATTGGAGCAGGTCGTCTGACGCTTTCTGCGGCTAAAACCAACGGAAGACGACTCGTTACGGAACTATCGGGGAAACGATCTCGTCTCGGTCGAGTACTCGTCCGTTACCTGGCCCTCGGCCGTCGCCGCTGCCGTCGACGGTGCACCGAACAGGTCCACGATCGGTTGATTCGCGTTGTTCGTCGGCGAACTGAGGAACGGATTCGTGCTGGGCCCGCCCGACGGTGATTGCACTTTCGCCTGAGAAACGATATACGTATTTATCGAGACGTCGGAGAATCGAATATTTTAAATCGAGGCGAAGAAGGTCTGTCCTGCTGACCTTGTACTGGTTCATGGCAGCCTCTTCTTCCGCGAGCGCCTGCTGCCGCAGCGCCTCATCGATGTGTCCGTTTCCGGCGTGGTCGAGGCGGTTATTACTGGCTGCTGTTCCAAACGCAGTACTGGTGGAAGACAGGGCGGACACTCCCGACTTTACATTCGTTCTATTGCTGCTCTCGGGTAATGATTGGGCGAGAATGGATGCGTGTTCGATGGATTCGGCGGTGGAGTTCACAGTGGAAGAGAGAAATAAAAGGAGGAGAAGCCGTATTTGTTCAGCGTAGAGACAAGTGTGGCCGTAGGAGCGAAAGGGAACGTTGATCATTGAAAACAAAGGAGAAGACAAACAAAAAAACAAAGAAACAGTGTAGTACGTATAAAGGTAATAACGTGTAAAAAATTCAGCTACTCAAGTGCTCTCACACAGACGCCCACGCGCAGCCACGCACTCGCGCGTAATTACGATTCATGCATGAAACGCTAGCTTTCCATCTTTTTGCACTCTCCTCTCTTTCACGCGTTCATTTGTGTACGATCTCTCTCGCCACGCACACGCAAGCATTCAATTACAAACGGTACTACCTAAACGTGTCTTACAATAAAAATTAAACAGAAAAAACGCACGCACTTTCTCGTTTGCTACTGCTACAAATACACACGCTTATGTACAGATCAATCATGTGCAGGAAAATATCACCTAGCTTCTAATTCTTACGTCGTCCGTGATTCGTTAACGTCGAGAGGCAAACAAAAAAAACGAACCGTCACGAACGAGTGATCGTGAACGTCGTTTCAAGAGATACGATAGCACGGAAATCGCGTCAAATTAATTTTCGCTGAAACTCGTTCAAAAAACATATTCCTATATATATGTGTACGTAACCAAGAGGTGGATCGAAAGAAACATACAGATACGTGCAGTAATCAGCGATAAATGTACTTGAAAAAAAAAGAGGAGAGGACTGGCTGCGATAAAACGTAATCTTCCCGACGGCCGAGCTAATCGAGATTTTTGCAGTCCCCGGATGGGAAGGTTTCTAGAAAGACCAATGAGAAGCGACCGATAGGTACCGGCTGTGGCCCGCGGAACAGAAGCGAACGAAGAACGAAATAGAAATGGGAAGAGGATGAGAGGGAAGCGCTTACGCTTGAGAAACGAAAAAAGAAGCACACGTTTCCAAGCAATAGAAAAATGAAACACGCCAACGTTACCTTCTACCCTTTATTCAGAAAAAAATCTTTGCGAGGAGAACAATGATTAACGATTGGATGAAAATGGGATGTTCGTATATTTGCGTATCGTTCATCTCGCGGTAGAATAGTAGCAAAGGAAAAAGTTTGATGGGATTTCGATGCGTAAAATTATTATGCGACTGTGTCTCCTTGATTCGTAATCTTTCTCGTTAGGAATGCACCATTTACTGTCGCAGTTCTTAAATTCTTAGAACGTTTTACCTTTGAATTTCGCTAACGAATCGGAAAATGTTCTATAGGATCAGTAAATTCGATCCCGCTCTGAACGTTAACGCGAGTCTGTTACGCGCCCGTGAGTGTCATAGTCTACGTACCTTGCGGATTGCGTAGGCGTGTTTGCTGCGGAGCCCTTCTTCCCCTCTAACGAAGCGAGATGTTGTTCCAACGCATCCAGTAAACTACTGGGAGCCTGAAAACATCGACGCTCAGAGTCTCGACCAAACGTTTGACATATAAAATTATAAAACTTCACCGCGTTCCACGTTGAAAATGGTTTCTCACCTTCGTCAGATCAGGTATATCTCCTTTATCGATGCCGACGTTCTGTAACAACGTGTACGATCAGTAACGAATAATCGGGGGCTGGCGGAATCTCGAAAATGAACTTTTTTTTACCTCGGCGACTTTCAAAAACTCCCCCACCCGATCCATCCGTATGAGAAACTTTTTGTACAGGTCCAGGGCCTCGCGGCACTGCTTCTTGTTCATGTCGAAGTATTTCTCTGAAACGAGACGAGTCATAGACACGGTGACACAAACACCGGAGTAACGAGCGTAGTACCTAGTAGATTGATGATGCCGTCGTTGTAACAAGCGAACAGTCGTATCAGATCCCGAAAGAGGAGCATGAAGGCCATGTTTATGACGCCGTTCGTGAGATCGTTCGCGGTGCAGTCGAATTCTAGCAGCGCGTCCAGCTGGGACTGCAGGACCGGCAACGTCTTCAACAGTTTCTCGGCGTTCATTGTGCGCAGAGTGCGGTCGTCCTTTCTAAACGGCAACGAGAAAGATCATTTTCACGTCGTGTCGGAATTTGATTCGCGACGGGAACGTACCCCCTCCTCACTTTGCAAAAGTCGAACGCGACGGTCCTGTAGGAAAGCGCCTTCTCGTTCAGATACTTGGCGTACCGCCTGATGAACGGTGACATGTCGTATCCTAGGAAGAGAGAACACCGTAACACGTGCCGCGCACGTTGTCTCGTACGTACGGGGAGGATCGGACAGGAGTTTTTATCGGAAGGGAAGTCGACGCAGGTGATGCGTGCATGCGAGTGCAAGTGCTAGCCTTCCATCGATCGGTTCCGACGCACTTTTTTCGGAACGTGATGCGTAGCGAATGGACCCACGTTCCGAAGGAGGCGCGTCGATTTAATTAGAACCAGAAATCTCGAACGGGTCGTCGAACCACTTTCCACCAACGAGAAAGTGTTCGACGACGAGTTTGATTTTGAACCTTCTGGACTGGCACGTCGACTCGCGGTGTTAAATAAGATTCAGGCGAGGGAGGTATTCGGAAAGAACGTTCAATCAATCAACAGTTATTGACTCACCGATCCGTGCTCCTGCTGGACTCGGATAGATAGAGAATTAGTTCCATGTTAGTAAATCATAGACAGAGGCCAGTTACAGATAGCTGCACAATGTTAGGAAGTTAGCCGGGAATGAGTCGTTATTAAATTTCTAATTCCACGGGGGGAACGGGCGCGCGTAGTACGTGCGTTTACTCGAACGTCGATTTTAATTCGATCCGCGGAACGAATTTCTTTTCTCGCGATAAGCGTCGCAAATGTTGACGGTGCGATTAAAACGTCGACTCGGTAAATTTGACGAGTCGTCGATCGTAAATCTCGTGGCGGTGCTCGCGTGCGTGCTGACATGGAAATCGTTCCTCCTCACCAGAAATTGTTAACGGTGAGAGAGAGAGAGAGAGAGAGACGAAAGCGGACGGCGAGAATAAGACCGATGAATCTCATGCCGCTCCGATAATGGTTCAATTAGATTACGGCCTGTCGCCGTTAATTATACGTGTCGAATTTTTGAATCACCGCGATTTACGAGGGTTCGAGTCAAAGGGAACAAGTGGACATTGACAGGTGGACGACCGGAATCTAATTGAGCCACTCGACGGAGTAGTTAATTCGAGAATATATGTTCTTTCGAACGGGCTGGTCACCTTGCGCGCCGCTTTTATCGAGAAAATTACTGAGCTGAAACGTGCTGTTGCTGGACGCCAGATATTGTGTAAACCTCTGCAACAGAAAGTTCATCCGACTCTCAAACCACCCATGTGTACGTCGTTCCATCGGAACCCCGCGAGTCCTCTCCCTTCGAGGTGGAAAACGAATAGAAAAGCCGGCGACTACCGTGCGGAATATCCGAGGGAATGACCGCGTCGTATGTGCAAAACCGTAAATGTTAGACTCTGGTCACGGAGTCGTGCCGTTCGATCCCGTGCATGTTCGCGCATAGGCGACCGGCAAGGGCGACGACACGTCCCCCCTTCGACTCATTACCGAACCGAAATGAGTCGGACAATCTCTGTACGAACGTAAATAATACTGCGAGCCTTACGAACGGGCACTACTTTACATCGTATTTAATTATCGATTCGTCGAGTGGAATCGAGCGATGATCAATTAAGGATGTATTAGCTATACAGTCAATCCCAAAAATTTATGTACCTTAGAAAAAGGTACTGACGTCCTCTACAAGAAAGATTTTATGTAATTTTCTTCTAATTCGAGTATTTAACAAGTTACACATGATTATTTGGCATTTTATTGATGTTGACAAAATCCGACCATCCCAGCCTCGAATCAGCGAACTTTTCGCAAAAAATTTCGTTTTTCCTTAATAACTCCTAAACTGTTGAATCTACGGGAAAATTGTATAGAACCTTTCTTGTAGAGGATGACGAGATCTACAATTTCTATATAAAAACTTTTCGCTAGCGTCAATACTTTACGAGTTATTGACGAAAAACGAAAAAACAGTTTTTCGCAAATTACTCGTTAACTATTGGCTCTAGGAAAATTTTTTTACATGGAAATTGTAGATCTCGTCGTCCTCTACAAAATGAGCCTAAATACACCCTCCTACGTCCATTCGTTCGGGAGTTATTGACGAAAAACGAAAATTTCGCAAAATCTGAAGGGGTACCCCTTGGAAAAATCTCGGAAAAATCAAAAATTTTTTTTTTGTTGTTTATTATTAGCAATGTTCTTCCGACGTCTGATTTCTTTTTAAAAAATGTGTTTCTAAGGTACATAAACTTTTGGGATTGACTGTATAGCCAATACATCCTTAAGCGAAATCGCGAGCGATCCGGCATCGGTGTCCCATCGTTTTTAAATTGGCATTCGTCGAGACGCGAGAGGAAAGATTCGTCTGATTGCCTTCGAGGAGCCACTCATCGGGAGAGGCACTCGCGCTGGTTCTGGATCCTGTTCTCCATCGCAGATACGACGAGTATTTACCTCGTTGCCGTAACAGAGCATATGGTGCACCGTGATCAGAGCTTTGAAAACGACTGTCCAGTTGGTGTTCTGCGACCGCTCTATCAACAGATTCGCCAGTTGGGGTATCGACACGTTCGGCTCGTTCGTGCACCGCACCAGGTCTGCAACAAATAGATACAAGAATCCGATTACCAATTAAAAACGATTTCATTGTTCCGAGGAACGAAGGGAATCGAAATTCGAAACTAGGGAAAGATCAGTCTTCGCATCGTCCAAGGCGTTTCAAATGCGAGTGGGTATCTGGTGTCTGTAAAAGCAATCGTCGTAACAGTGACTAACGCGATCGATTAAACTGTTATTTTCCATCGTCCGGAGGACATCTATATCCTCTCGCGGTCGAGAAAAATTTGCAATGATCCCTAATTGAAAGTGCAATGCCGCGATCCCTCGATTCTGCGTAGTCGCGCGTACAGCGTCGAAAGGAAAACGCGGAACGCGTTTGATCCACGCGATGATTCACGACTCCCGGCGGCGGTTAGCTTTTTCCGTGGAACGGGGGACCGTCCATTCATCTGGGCTGAAATACCTTTCCCGGAACACGGCGTTCTTCCACCTGGTCGACCTAAAATTAATTCTGCCTTCGCGCGACGACGAGACCTCTGATAGCGCGATCGACATTTCTGAAGCGCCAAACGGTTTCGCAATCAGTCGCTATAAATATCGATCGAACCCACGTGGGCACCCATCGTCTGAAAAATTCATCGACCGAATCTCCTTGAGAAAAAAAAATCGCCTTCGAACTTTTCACGCGACTTTTAATCGCGACGGTACGTCGAATTCGCTCTCCTCCTCAATGGATTCTTTGTTTGTTTTCAGGGAAGAGAGGACCACGATGACCGACCGGCTGCCAAAACGAAGTTCTCGACCTTGTCGCGCTTCCTCTCTTCTAATAATGTACTCTTGAACACGGGCGCAGTAGCCACGTCTCATTCACTAGACCCGTACTATTTATAAAAGTAAACCACGCAGTTGAGCACGCGAATTTCAATTCCTTCATTTACGCTGTTTCGGAGCCACCGAAAACGGTTGTAAATAAACGGAGACGGTGAAGAAGGCGTGAACGATCGATAGAGAGTATTTTTTAACAAATATTACGAGTAAATAAGCGAGCGTCGGGCCATCGGAAGAAAACCGATGAATCGAACAGTAGCTAAGGGAGATAGGAACGCGGAACGTTGTGTATTGTAACGAGAGAACCAAGTCGTTATCAGAATTATCTGAAAGTTGAAGGGGTGTGCGTTGAGATGTTTCTGACGAGTCCAGACGCGGACGGGGGCGTCACCGATAACGCTTTGTGGTAAGACGATAGCCGCAGCAACCGCGGATTATCAAAAATAACGAACTTGCAGTTGCGAAATATCTGACCGTGCCCCGGTCACCCCTAAGAGAATTGAAAATATAAAAAACAGCGATCGATCAGGAATGAAAATGGTACGTCTGATCGTCAAAGTTCTGCCGTTCCGTTTTCAATATCTCCCGTGGAAGGCAGGAACGATTATGCGCGACGGTGGGATTATGTAAGGAAAAACACGAACGCGATCGGGTAATCGACGCGGTCACGGAAAATGGAACGGGCCGAAGGACGTCGATTACGGAGAAAGGGATCCGTGCGAAGAAGCGCAGGAAACGTCGACAACGGAGATCCTCGATTCGCCGTACAATGGCCGAGCAATTATAGACCGTGCGTAATTCGCGAATAAATTGCGCGATCCGTCGCGTGTCGAATCGCAGGTGTTCCGAGTTCCCATAGGAAACCGGCGAATCGCGTAAACGTTCGATCGATGAATCCCGAGCTACGAACGCGGGGGTCCGTCGGGACGACGATCGGGCGTTTATTCTTCATGGTAATTACGAGATTCGATCGACGAGTCACACAGTTGGCAACCAGCGACGACGGGACGGGAGAACGATCAGGTCAGAACGATCGGGAGGTCATCGGCTGGGAATCAAGTGTACAGCCGACGATCGATAGACTGAATCTCGGACGAGAGCTGGTCCGGTCAGTGGGCATGTGCGAAACACGCGTGTCTAGTCTTTGGTTCCCTCGATCCAAGATCCAATACAGCAGCCACCGCCTCTTCCTTTATGTTGCCTTACGAGCTTCGTGGAAAGATCGCAAAGCCTTCCGACCGTGACCTAAAAAAAGGGTCGCGTCTCGCAGCCCTACCGTCTGGCTGTGCTTTCTTATACGCTACAAACGATATCAGTTTCACTCGGAAAGATGCGACAGATAATAGAAATATGTATGAAATCGTATCGTTGCTATCAGTCAGGTGTGATCGTATCATTGAGTCACGGTGATTCATACGAAGCTTCGAAATTCCTTCACGTTTCGAAGGGTCACCGTGTTACGGCGATTGTTTCTCGGGGTGGAACCACTGAGAAGACCTCGTCGAGGATTCGTTTCGTTATCTGAATTAGCAGACCGGAAGACAGGCCGGGAGTCCCGTTTGGCTAAAACGGAAACGCGCTCTTGTTCCTAACGAATCGCGTGCAATTATTAAACTTTCCTTTCATAGAGATCCACAGATTCGATGTAACGCAACGCGCAAGCGTGTCACTCGCGCGTGGGCATGCAATGGAAATTTTAAACGCGAGTCTCGTTCTAAATTTCGATAGACAGCAATGAACTTTCCCTGTGCGACGCGCGAATGTAATTATTGTCAGTCGGTGTCGGGTGGTCAGATCTCTCGTCAACGTTCGGTGCATCGGTTTGTTTGGGATCGGAACGTACCAATTGGAAATGATTCGTGACGACTGCGAGGTGCAAAGACCTGGACAGGCTACAAACTCCGACGGGACCTCGACTTTTAAATTGGAACAGATACGGGTCACAGCACCCACGCATATACCTATGAACCTTGATGTCACATGTAACACATGCGACGACGGAATCGATAATCAGAAGGAACTCGTGCGGTTTCCTACCGTTCAAGTACAAAGTATCTCGTTTTCTTTGCCATCGACGATTACCGAAACTCGAATAACCAGCGAAATTATTGAAAAATATGTGACCGTCGATGCGAAAACATTCCTCGAACCTGTCGCTCTCCTTGACGGTATTTATCCTCGAATTTCAATTCCCCCAACAACAGCAGCGTGACGTAAATTCAAGCAAGGTAAATCAAACGCGATGTACAGTTTTTCCAAACCGTGTTATGTCACTAACGAGGCCCCGACATCGTGGCAACCGTTCATAAACCGATAAATATCGCGGCAGCGAGAAACTACTTTCGCGTGGAACATCTGTTATCATCGAGGATCCGCGGACTCGAAACTTTCACCGTTACCCGACTAGAATTCCCCGTGGGTCGAGTAGCACGCTCGTTTCCGCAAAACGATCAATTAAAACGTTTCGATGCGAAGAATCGTAACAAGTATGATCGTTCGAACAGTCGTTACGATCGACGTCACAGCGAATTCGCGTGGCTGTCGATAACGTTTGACTGGTACAATTAACGTGATCGCCAGTAACGAGCGATATGTAACGGGGCAGGTGCCTTTGCCAACGAGCCGCGCGATGGAATCGATACTTACTCGGCCAGCTCTCTGCCTACGTTTCAACCAAGAGAAACGTCGACTGGCGCTTTGTTTCGCGCGTGCAATGCGAACCCGATACTTGCACGTACATTCGAAAATTTCTGATGACGCACACGGTGCGTGCAGGGAAACAGTGCGACGATGTTTGATCGATTTTTCGATCTCGTACATGGCCAAGTAGGTAGATAGGCCCGTCGAGAACTCGGCAACACTTTCGTTCGCGCGACACCTCGAAATGGAAAGTAGCGTGCACGGTGAGTCGTTAACGGGGAGAATCGTAGAGGTGCGCGACTCGTGCATCGGACGTGACTAACACGGTCGACGTCGACACCCAGCCAGACACTGGCCAGGTTCATGCACCTTGAAAAACCGTTTGATCGCGAGGAGGAATTCGCTCAGCGACGCGTGATTCATCTTCTTCCGGGCTGTCCGACGACGACGGTCGCCCGCGTCCCGTCGGCTGTGGCGAGAGAACGACGGTCCCGTCTCCTCTCGGTCTCCTCGGCGAAACGAGGAATTCCCGGCGTCCGGGAAAGATGAATAAAAGACGAGTCACTGGGGGACTTACACTCGAGATGTTTCTTCTTCGGGCCTATCATCTCCTCGGTGGTGGCTTTGCACACGGCTTTGGCGAGACCCTGCCCGGCGATGCTGTGCTTCGCTGCCAATAGCCTGTCGTTGATCGTCTGTCCCGCCATACTGTCGCTGATCCTCCTGTCACACCGCGACTATTTCCCAGCCTCACGCACCTTTCGAATCGGCGAGTACGCGATCCGTAACCGCGTCACACCCGGGGTCCGTTCTCCGGCTTCGAGGAGAGTGCCACACGCACACCGCCCGCCGGGAACCGCACCTGCGAGACGCACCTGATTCCCGAAACCGACGACGAGGTACGCGAAAAACCACGGGGCCGGTTACCGATTCCGTCTCCTGATCGACCGCGACTTTTCGGTGCCGACCTGTCCTCGAATCGCGATTCCGATCGAGCCGTGGAAGCTCTATCGCGCGCGTGTTAACGGCTCAGCTGGCTCACGGCGACGACAGAAACCTGCCAAAATGGCGACCCGGACCTCCTTCTCCTTCGCCGGACCGATCACTCCTGACAGTCTGCTCCTCCTCTGCGAACACGGCCTACATCTCTGACGTCTGTACTGCGCTAGTCAATACACTGCTCCCCGTTTTAATACCGAACTAAATATCCAAACGATCTATCAGAATTTCCAGCAAATAAGATCTTTCTTTAATCGGAAGATTCGGATTCTGCTTCTCGGTTTCAAGATTGAAAATCCGAATGATGCAACATTTTCCAAATAGTTCACCGTACGAAACCGAACGAATTGGATTCTTCTTCAAATCATAGATGATAAGATTGTTCGTCTATCGAACAGTTTTAATGATAAGCTAATGCAAACGGAATCGTACAATAGTTTTAATTATAATATCGATCGAAATGGGTGTCACCGTGACGAGTTTGAAATCGATAACTTGCGCACGCAGGGCACCCTCATAGTAATCCGTAGGATCTATATACTTCTGTCATATCGAATAATTATTTTCCTTCGAGTTTTTTACGTTTTGTTTCTAAGCCCATTCGCAGAATTCAGAGTTATTGTAAAATACGCGTTTCTAGAGCTAGTAACAACGAAACTGAGCCAGCTATGTGCATGTGTTAGTTTCCCCTAGGGGACAAAATTCAAAACGAGTGTTAATAAGTGTACTTTTCAATGCTCCATGAGGCGTTTATAGAATTGTGGACGATACTGTTTGACACGTCAAAATAAAAACAATTTTAACCTACGTCTGGCTAAATAGTTACTGATGTAATTTTATTTTGAAATTGAATGTAAAGGGAATGTGAAAATACAGGAACGGTGTAACTTATAAAAATAATAAACGTTATTCGTTCACTGTATCATTTANTGAACGAATAACGTTTATTATTTTTATAAGTTACACCGTTCCTGTATTTTCACATTCCCTTTACATTCAATTTCAAAATAAAATTACATCAGTAACTATTTAGCCAGACGTAGGTTAAAATTGTTTTTATTTTGACGTGTCAAACAGTATCGTCCACAATTCTATAAATATAGTCAAAGCTAAACATTACCCTAGATCCAATACCAAATAACTAGACGCGCCGCAGAATTTAAGATTAAAATAATCGAAACGAGAAAACAAATTAACAACAAATGATGATCACGTAATGTAATCTCGACACGAAGATTTATGAATGCTTTACTCGTCGTTCGACGATTATTGGAGGAATATTAATGTAGCTCTCGTTGGTACGAATGCGTATTTTGACAACACGGCATTGCGATAAGAACCGACAGATCCACGAGCCGGTTTTTGGCAATTACTTTTTTTTTAAGATGCGTATGTATGAAATATACTTCAAGAGTTATTGAAAGTTTCTTCCGGCACGCTAACAAACCTATTCTACATTGTTCTCTCAGACTTGTGAATTAATCCATGCTGTAACCTTGCTAACAAACCGATTGCTTCAGCTTTGAACTCTCGAAAACAAAGTCCATACGTGTTCGTTTCTTTTTTTTAGCTGTCAGCAGCGGAGCGTCGTTCGTACTGTCATCGATTTTGACAGTACTCGTGTTTTCGGGAATGCAGATTTATAAAGGATGGTTAGCATCGTCGCAGGTATACACGATACTGGGAGGATACATCGGCTCGTTGCTTTTTATTTGCGTGTTGACCGCGATAGGAAACTTGGAGGCAACGATATTTGGCAAGTCCTTCCAACAGAAATTATTTCCCGAAGGTAGGTTGTCAATCGTTGAAATCATGAGATCGGGCTTCGATCGAATTCGTTCTCGTTGCAGTTATGTTTTCGCTGATGATCAGTCTGATGGCATCGGGCTTGGTACATAGGGTGGCGACCACGACGTGCTTCCTATTTTCTATGATAGCCTTGTACTATATCAATAAAATATCTCAAGATGCATACGTCGCACCAGTGCCGACAGTATCTTTGCATACGAAGAAGAGAAAGTAAATAACCGTATCATTGTACGTAACAAAAATGAAACTCAAACTTTTACATGAAACCGTTCCGTTTCCATTGATTTTTAATCACACCTTTCCCCTGGGCGAAGATTACAAAAATGGGAGCGAGCAAATGATAGAAGGCGAAATGTATTGACATTGTACGTAAGTATTTTACAACATTTTAGGATTTCTTTTCCTTTTGTTTTCCCTATGCTTCTCCGCTTCCTCTTTATCGCTAAAATACTCGAACGATTCGTCATTGTCATCCACCTGGAGATCTTTGTTTTCTTTCGGTTCGTCGTTGTCTAAAGTCGGTCGAGACATAACGTGCTTGTAAATCGTCATCGCCTAAACCCACAAAACAGCGTGAGAATGCGTTCCGTGGTAGAACGAAGACTCCTTAAGAACGTACCTGCGTCACCAAGGAAGACACGTCTGCGACGTTACTGGGCAAGATCAAAGTATTGTTGACCTTCGCAAGTTTGTTAAACGCTTTGACGTATTGCTCCGCTAGACTGTACGAGGCCGCGTTCTTTGCGTCCGCCAAATTAAGAGCACCCGCCACGAGTTTCAAACTTTTGGCGCGCGCCTCCGCGATAGCCACCAGAGCCGTCGCTGTACCAGTGGCTTTGTTTATCTCTTCCTGCTTCGCCGCCTCTAACGTGCAATCATACGAATCGTTTATGAACTTCCGATTGGGACGATCTAACGTCTGTTTCAATTACCTGATGCCAGGATCTGCGCTAAGCGTTTTCCTTCGGCGATATTTATATCCGCCTCTCTCTGGCCCTCCGATTCCAGCACCGCGGCTCTCTTCTTTCGTTCGGCCTCCACCTGCATCTGCATCGCTTCCTGCACCCTTTGTGGTAATCTTATGTCACCTAACACGAACGAATTCAAATGATAAAGACTTTGCCATTCACTGGACAATGGATCTTACGTATTTCGTATCGGAGGCAAGTTATTCCCCAGGCTTCACTCGCTTTGTTTATGCTATCGACTATACAGACGTTGAGGCCTTCTCTCTCCCTGAACACTTTGTCCAGAGATATCTTTCCCAGCTCCGACCTCATCGTCGTCTGCGCTAACTGAACTACGGCGAACTCGGGATCGTCCACTCCGTACGATGCCAGAAACGGATCGATCACTCGTAAATATAAAACGCCGTCGATGTTTAACGTTACATTATCTACGGAAGAACGATCAATTTGTTTAACACACTGTTCATGCAAAGAGCAGACGTGACACGTACCTGAGGTGACGGCGCTTTGCTGAGGTATTTCTATAGCTAATTCCTTAAGACTTTGGACGTATCTAATTCTATCTATTATCGGTGTGAGGATGTTTAAACCAGGATTCAAGATCCTGTGAAATTTCCCCATTCTCTCGACGATCCATGCCTAAAAGAATAATACAGATTTATTTCTGTTCCGACGAGAGGTCATTGATTATGGTTACAAACCTCTTGCTGAGGTACGAACAGTATGATAGTGTTCAACGGAGTGCCAGATTTGTATCTGACGAACTGAGCTATCGGCAACTTGGGAACGGCATGTTCAAATGCGATGAGTGGTTGTTGCTTCGAAGAAAAATTTAATTACGACCACGAAGAAACAGAGATCGTCGAGCACGACGGCCTTTCGGTTACCTTTAGGATTCCAAAGTTACGAGCGAGCTGCTTGAACCGGCAGTTCATTTCCCATTTATACGATCGCAATAACATGATTCTACGTGAGAAACACTTCGGGGTGCACTGTTACGAGAGGTTAGGTCCACGCGATCGTATTATACGTGCAAACATGTCCCTTTCATTTCGAATCGCGATAAAAAAAGCTGGAAAGCAACCGACGGACGAAACCCGATGTTTAATTGATCATTGAATCTATCGACATTCAGTGTCGAATGAAAGTATGTAAAATAGTCAGATTTATCGTCAAAATAAATTAGTATTGAGGTATCGGTTCATACGATACGTTTGACACGAGACTGCGCGTACCCTACAACATGTGTCTGTAGCGTTCCGACACGTGCGAGCGTCGTAAATTGCTTTCGTAAATCGTCCGAGTCCTGTGATGGAAGAACGAGAAAGGGTTTAAGGGAATCTTATTTTGTACATATATTATTCAAAGGAAATCCGATTTGTTCGAGCGTTCGAAATGAGTACGATACTGGAGAAAATCGCCTCGATCGAGGCCGAGGTAACCTTCGCCGCATTTACATCTGTACTGCATTTGATTTTCTTAGATTTAATCTATTGCAATTTTATCGACAGATGGCTCGTACCCAAAAGAACAAAGCTACGTCGGGCCATTTGGGATTGCTAAAGGCAAAACTCGCGAAATTGAGACGCGAACTTATCACTCCTAAAGGCGGAGGAGGCGGCGGCGAACAGGGCTTTGAAGTGGCAAAAACTGGCGATGCTAGGATAGGTTTCGTCGGTGCGTATTTAAAATATAATCGAGAGAATGTACGATCGAAAATAATAAGTGTTTCTGGAACCAAGGTTTTCCTTCCGTGGGGAAGTCTACTCTACTGAGTACTCTAGCTGGTGTCTATTCGGAAGTAGCGGCATACGAATTCACGACTCTTACAACTGTTCCTGGTTGTATCAAATACAAAGGGGCGAAGATACAAGTTTGTATACCGATTCAATGAACAGAAGAACGTTTCATCTTTGTACTAAATAATGATCGATGAATCTTACAGTTACTGGATCTTCCTGGAATCATTGAAGGTGCCAAGGACGGCAAAGGTCGTGGAAGACAAGTTATAGCAGTCGCCAGAACCTGCAGTTTAATATTCATCGTTCTAGACGTGTTGAAACCACTGGGACACAAGAGGTTGATCGAACACGAATTGGAAGGTTTCGGATTGCGATTGAACAAACAGCCGCCGAACATCAATTTCCGGAAGAAGGACAAAGGTGGTATTAATTTTCAGACTACGGTAAGTGCAATCCTACTTCATCGGGACACGAAATATCGTACGGAACTTTGACGTTGAAATTGTTTAATCGTTCCCACAGTGTACGCAGTCTGAACTCGATTTAGAAACTGTAAAGAGTATTCTCTCGGAGTATAGAATTCACAACGCGGATATCACGCTGCGATACGATGCAACGTCCGACGACCTAATCGACGTCATCGAAGGAAATCGCGTTTACGTGCCGTGCATTTACTTGCTCAACAAGATAGGTAATTATCATGTCGTTGAGATACCTTGGAACGAAGGTACTGACGGTCTGATTCGATTCCAGATCAAATCAGTATCGAGGAGTTGGATATTATTTATAAAATACCTCATTGCGTACCGATCTCTGCTCACCACAAGTGGAATTTCGATGATTTACTTGAGAAAATGTGGGACTACTTACAACTGGTCAGAATGTAAGTTCTCCGATTTGTTTCATTCGAAATCTGGATCATTTATTCTTTTATCTCTGTTCGTAGATATACGAAGCCGAAGGGACAGCTTCCGGATTATAATTCTCCCGTAGTTTTAAACAGGGAGAAGCGAACGGTGGAAGATTTTTGTAACAAACTGCATCGATCGATCGCGAAGGAGTTCAAATAGTGAGTAGTCCCTTTGATCGCCTGATTTTCGTCAACTGATGATTCTTACATTTTAGCGCACTCGTGTGGGGATCGTCCGTGAAACACCAGCCGCAGAAGGTTGGGAAGGATCACGTGTTATGCGACGAGGACGTCGTGCAAATTGTAAAAAAGGTGTAATATCCACGGAGGATAATAAATTGCATAATAAATTTTGATAGGCGACTTTTAAATCTACTTCATTGAACTTCTCGTGAGGAAATGAATTTTTTTAACCAAGCATGTGATTGATTTGGTGTAATATATATTTCGTATGAAGCACAACAAATAAAATGTACTGGTACCTTCATATGTCTTTTAAAACGTACTCCCTTCGTTGTTGGTCCAACAACTTCTCCAAATGTTCGCATCTCAGCTTCGCGTCGTTCAGTTCTTTCGTTAGATTTTTGATGGCCAAAATCTTTTGCGTCATTATTAGTTTAATTCTGGAACAGAATTCGATGAGCGCGAATTCTGTGAATAATTAGCAGACGATCAGGGCACCGAACCTGCTGCGTAACTGAGCCAGCGAAACGTCCCTGTTCACGTTGATACGAGTTATTTCCTGATAAAGGGAACCGATCTTCTCTTCCAATTCTCTCTTCTCTCCTTCGATCTCTTGTCTCGCTATTCTCTTCGCGTTATCTCGCTCGGCAGTCAGTTGTTTCACCGCCTGAAGAAATGATCCGTCTAGCCATCGATCGATTGGCAATTGTATATCAGAAAATCTTACTTCGTTCGTTTTACTCAATTCAGACGTGCATTCCTGAATTTTGTTCTCCGTTTGCTGCAACTCGGTCAACGTCCTCTCCAGCTTGTCCTTCGTATGCGTCCATTTGGCTTTGTGAATCTGTTCATTTTCCATCGCAGTTTGCAATTCTATTTCGTACTTCTCGCGAAGAGATCTGAAAGATCATGAACGCTGGCAACAGCCCGATAACAGAATCCCTGTCGATCTACCTGAGCTTGCAGTCGAAGTTCTGCTGCAACGCGAGCTTGGCGTTTCGGGAGTCCTTCTCCAACCGTTCGATAGCGAGTTCGATCTGTCGATCCCTCTCTCTGTTGCAATCGTCTCTTATCTTGTTCTCCATCTGTTCGATCCTCAAGTTCTGCTGTCGCTTGTAGTCCGCCAACCAAGCCTCCCATTCCGTTTTCAACGACTCCTGGAGAGTATTCTTCTCGTGCGAATGCTGTTGCCTCAGTGCATCTATTTCTTGCTAAAAAGAAAAACCGACGGCACCTCTTCAACTTTCGACTCCAATAATGTTCGTTTTCGGCTACTGACTTGATACTGCAGCCGCATTCTTTGCAGAAGAGCTTCCGTCTCGGCGTCACGTTTAGCCTGTTCCTTCCCGAACTTCTCCCTGTCGAGCTGCAATTCGTCGACAAGCTTCGCTTGCTGCGCTTTAAACTGATTCTCCTGCTCCTCCAATTTCTCTTGATACCTGATAACGTTATTAGCAGTCTGCAGTATTCGACGCATTTATCAGAAGCTCCTTTCGTACCTGGCCCATAAAATACTCTTCTCGTTAGTCAACATCCTCTCGTGACTCGCGGTCAACTCTATACGCAATTGTTCCAATTGTTGATTCGAGCGACGTACGATCCTCAGTTCCGCGTCCTGCAGCTCTTTCACGTGCGCGTTCCTCAGTCTTTGCACTTCCTCCGCGTGCTGTTCCATCATATTACGCAGTTCCGGTTCCAGGCCCTTCACCGTCATTTCCTAGTAAAACGAGCCGAAGCATTGAATCACGTACGATCATTCGCGTGATCTCGAACCTTGATTCTCGTGGTCCTGGCTTCGATCCATCGTTCCCGTTTGATCTTCTCCGCCGCGGCGAAGTGCTCCTTGGCCCTCTGCAATTCCACCGCGTATCTATCGTCCGCCACCTTCAAATCCCGTTGCATTTTTATCTCGATCTCTTTCACCCTTTGTACCAGCGAGTTACATTTCTCGGTCAGCTCGCTCTTCTCAGAGATCAGCTGCTCGATGAAGCTCTGATGTCTCTTCACGATACTCTTGTACTTCTCTTCCTGCTGTTGGAACTTCGAGGAGTTCTTCTTCTTCTGCGCTTCCACTTTCTCGTAGAACAATTTCCTCTCAGAATTGAGTTTCTCTCTGAGTAGCGACACGGTCGCGTTCTTTTCCTCGAGTTGCAGCCGAGCGGTGGCCAAGTCCTCCTCGAACGCACGAGGAACGACCCTTTCGACGCTGCAGACCGGAAGCAGAATCTCACGATATCGTGTTGAATCATCAATTATTATTTTTGTTATCGTGATTACCTATCGTAATTAATGCGAGGCAACGAGCCGTCGAATATCTCTCCGAGTATCGTCGCGTCCACTTCCGGGACGTTTACGTTCGTCTCATCCAAAGAACCTAATGCATGATACCGATTGATAGGACGGATTTACTTATGAGAAAATCGAATGTACGAAAGACGATGGATATTGATTTCTAAATTTCATTTTTAAATCAATATCGCGAAACTATTTTGATAAGCTACCGTCTTCGAGTTTCGCTAGAAACGACATTATATCTTCGTAAGTCGTTCCGTTCGCGGCCCGCTCCTCTTTCGAATCGTCCCTCTCCGGTTGCAGCTGCATTTCCGGTAGCTGCCCGACGATATCTCTCTCCAGATCGGTGATCATGGTACAGAGTTCCTCGAACGAGCAGGTGGTCGATTCGACGACGTTCTGATTGCAGTCCGCTCTTTCGATTTTCTTTGAATCATCGTCGACGCTCTTGATTTCCTGTATTCCTTCCGTGCTTCGCGGCGGCGGCGGCGGCTTCTTCACAGGCGGCTTCCCGCGGATCTTCGGATGCGCGATATTTATCATCGTGGAACTCGGTAATAACGAGTGCGGCCGGTGCGGAGCGCGAATTCCTACTGAACGTTCGAGGGTCGTTCGCCTGTTTTTATGGTTGCGCGTTTACGCGGTTGTCAAGGTGATGGACGCAGCTGATTTCAAAGGGACGATGACTAATACTTGGAATTTTATTCGACTTGGTTCAACGAATTTCTTCGGTAATGCAAGCGTTTGTCTGTACATGTATTGCAGTTGCTTGGACATGAAAGTAATTCGCAAGAGGCGTTCGAAGCATTCCAGAAGCACGGGAACGAATGTATCGGATTTTATAAGATCGTGGAATTTATGGGTGCGAAAGGGTCGTATTCGTTTTTGTCCGAGTGGTGGAAGAGAGACGCGTGTCGTCGTATCGGGAGATGAATCGAATGCTGGAAGGAACTGTATAGATCGGAGAGACGGTCGGAGTAACTCGATTTGCGGAATAAAGCCGGTTGGAGAGAAGGGTCGGTATCGACGGAGCAAGGGTGGCTCGCTCGGAGCGTCATCGCGCGGGTGGCGTCGACGAGGGATGCAGGCAGCACCGTCTGGGACGACCTGGCGAACTCGGGAACTGGGTACAGCCACTGGGAAGAGATCGTTGGGGGATATACTCGTACGAGGAGGCAGAACGGTCGTCAGTCGCAATCGGAAGAGGGAGGCGGTTGTGGGGCGAGGTTGTTGCGGGTGAACACTCGCTAAGGGGTGGAAGAAGTGGGCGAGAGGGCGAGGGCGAGGGCGAGGGTGTCTGTACGTACACCGAGAGAGAATCGATCTAAAACTAGGAGTCGCCGCAGTAACCGCTGGGAGGAAGCCACTGTTACAATTTGCCCCCATATGCGCTAGTGAAATCTTAGATCGGGTAATTGTACGGCGAGAGAGGGCTCGAGCTGGAATGAGGTGTTACCGCGAGGTGCTCGCGAGCGTTCTTCGGCCCGCGGCGCGTCGATGTTGACGTACGACGAGGAGCCAGAGCCGAGCTCGGCCCCGTGATAACGGCGCACCGATATACCGTACAGTGCGAAGGATCCTACGGAGGTCAGTCGAGAGGAGAGACCAGTGACACACGGGAGACGGGGCGAGAGAGACGGAGAGAAGCGCGCCGGAGAGACAGATAAATTTAACGAAGAGAGGGGGAGGACGAGAGAGAGAGAGAGAGAGAGAAAGCGAAAGAGAGATAGAGGAGAGTGGACAAGGCAAAAGAGAAACGGTGTCGCGACGCAAGGTGTTTCGGTGTACGGTGCACGTTACGAGGAGGATCGGGTGGACCGGGTCGAAGGAGAGACCAGCAGGAGAGGACGCAGCGAGAGAAACCGGGTGAAACGGAGAGGAACCGAAAGAGAGGGCGAAGGGAGCGCGCAAGAGAGAGAGAGAGAGAGGGAGGGTGGGAAGAGCGAGAGAGAGCGAGGGTGGGCGGACAGTAGTGCACGAGAGCATCCCGTCGCCCACGATAATGCGACGTGCAGCTTCTTTACTCGTTCCTTCTGAATAAGTGCTCGCTGGGACGGTCCCTTACCTGCAGGGATATGACGTAATGGCAAGAGAGGTATGCATTTACAATCGCACTTTATCGTCGATCCGTCGTTTTCGTTCTACTCCCTGCTCGGTGTACCCCAGTGCTTCGCATCCGCCTTCCGACCCCGTCCGACCCCTTGCTCGACGCGACATTCCTTCGGACCCATTTTCTTTTATCGTCGCCGTGCGTGAACGCGTGTACACGCGCTGCAGCATTCCCGTCGGAACGTTGCGTCGATCGGTGCACGCACCCGCGTCGCGGGATCACGCGTACGCGAGCGTACGACTAGTTTTTCCGAACGACGCGGTCCAGGGTGCATCCGTGAATGCTCGACGTTCGCGACGTTCCGTCCCGTCGTCGGTCGCTGTCCCGGGTTCCTTCCCCCAGGTCCAGGTCGTCACGGCCATCCCACTGGATTATGCTGTTCCTACCCTCGAGAATCCCTCAGGATCTGCACGGTCCCGATGTCCCTGTGCGTTTTGCGGCATTGTTTACCGAAGCTCGGAGGAAGCTGCACCGAGATCCCGTTCCGGGACCGCGAGAAAACACGAGACACGCCGCGGCGAACGTCTCTCTCGCCGCCCCGTCGGTGTTCGCCCATTCGTTCCCACCGTGCGTACACCCGTTCTCTTTTCCTTTTCTTTCTCTCTTCTTTTTTTTTTTTTTGATCTGTTACCCGAGAACGATTGAATCAGGTCAGTGTTTTCGACCATAAGTTGCGGCCGCGTCTGCGCCCTGTACGAAGCTCTGCGCCTCCCTGTTGAAAACTAGGGACGATCCAAACATAATATTCCTCCTTTGGGCTCGCATTATTCTAATATCGTTTGCGAGTCCCCGATCCGGAGACCCCTTAACCTCGATAATCGAGTGATCGTCGCCCCCCTCGTTTCGTGCTCTCTCGACCCACAGAGCCGCCTACTACCCTCGACGCACGCACCCGCGTTCCGAAGCCGCGAGCACACAACGGCCAAATAAAACTAGACTATTTTCTACGAGCGTACGAGAATTCCTCACCGGCGTTACATCCCGACGATTGATCGCGTTTTATCTTGCCAGGGACCAGGGATACACCGTGTTTGGTCCTGCACGTCCTACTTACTCGTTGCCTGCGAGTCCCGTCTTAGAATTCGGAATCCCGGCTTCGCGGAGGCAGCCGGTGCGCGAGATAAAAAAAGGCGTGGGTCGCGTACACGTCGCAAGGATATATGGATATTCGATAATCATTTTTCACAGCCGGCTTTGTTTATACTCCGCTCTACTTATATAACGTGTGTATAGTCATCGGCGCATCGTATAAAACGGCGTGCGACGGGGGGTAAATTACTTTCCCGTTGACCCGGTGCAGACACTCCACTTAACATCTAGGCGATAAGCGTTTTCCACGCCGGCTCGAGGGTTTTACGGTTCCTTTACACGCAATTACGCCCCGTTTCAACCTATCCTCTCATTGATAGACTTTTACCTATGCGCCGCGGCGTGTCGTTTACCTTTGATCGACGCCCGTTCAACTCCGTCGCTCCCGGTGTTGCACTTTTCAGGTTCAATTCACTCGCGTTACGTAAGTGATTGATCGCGGGACTGTTTGAGACCGAAATTCTAACGTTTGAGAGTGCAACACCGGCTCGGCTCGAACCGTTCGCGAGATCACCGTATCGGTCGGTTTCTGTGCAGGAGTTACGGGCCAAGAGACCTTTTAAGATATGGGACAGCTGGCGTAACGTGAGAAAGGGACTGTGTGTTAGCACTTTCGAGGAACTGGTACATCAAGGTAAGAAACATACCCCACAGCCCGGAGACTGATTATAATAGCTGCGCTTCAAGCGTAATTGCACGCGCGTAACAGAACCCTCGTTTTTGATCCCTGCGTAAGAGCCGATACCGCGTTCGTTCTATGTGACCTGTACTCTCTCTTTTCGGGACACACTCTTTTTTTTCTTTTCTGTCTAATGAAGAACACCATCGTAATCGAATATAAGAAGGGACTTGAGAACGGACCTCGATCGCACGAAAGCGTACGCGAGGATTCTCAAATGGAAAAGATCCATTACGAGAACAGAGGTTCCGATCGTTGCCTGATCGTTCGTCGCTCGTCTTCTTCCAGGCAAAGAGAAGCTGGGCGTGCCACAGAACGAGAATGTCTCTGTAGTGTTGGAGTCGGACGGGACGCAGATAGAGGACGGGGAGTACTTTAGGACCTTACCAAACAACACGATCCTTCTGTTGCTGAGGCATGGTGAACACTGGTGTAAAACACCACCCGGGGTCGACATCATACGCGCTGGTATCTATCAATCCGATCCCATCTCGCTTCGAACTCCTACGATCTCGTTCTCTAAACCGAAAACCTTTGTTGCGTCACAATAATAATAACAATAATAATGATGATGATCTCGGCGAGCGAAAAAGTATCGGAGTCGCTTTTACGAGCGAGCAAAGTCGAACGCGACGCTCTTTCCCCAAGAATAGCCCCGGTAAACGTTCTCCGTTCCGAGTCCGAGAGCTATTTTTATGGGGTACCTTGGACTCGTTGAACGTTCTCCTCTCCTAGAGACTCACCCGTGGAATTACAGATCGGAAGCGTTCGAAGCCATTGTAACAGGATTTAGACTGGAGATCTTACGCAGTCAATGAAACTCCTGTCTAAATCCGATTTGAAAATCGATACAACCTCGAGGGAAACAGCCGCGGCCTCGCGATCGTATAATCACCGATTGTCACCGTTTGCAGCGATCTCGGCGATTCCGAAAATAGTCTGCGAGACGATCCACGCCCTGGAGCTGCACGATGAGACGCCCTCGTGGAAGATCATGGACAATAAGGGACGGGTCACGGTGGTGCTGCACTGGGACCAGCGANGGATTATGCTGTTCCTACCCTCGAGAATCCCTCAGGATCTGCACGGTCCCGATGTCCCTGTGCGTTTTGCGGCATTGTTTACCGAAGCTCGGAGGAAGCTGCACCGAGATCCCGTTCCGGGACCGCGAGAAAACACGAGACACGCCGCGGCGAACGTCTCTCTCGCCGCCCCGTCGGTGTTCGCCCATTCGTTCCCACCGTGCGTACACCCGTTCTCTTTTCCTTTTCTTTCTCTCTTCTTTTTTTTTTTTTTGATCTGTTACCCGAGAACGATTGAATCAGGTCAGTGTTTTCGACCATAAGTTGCGGCCGCGTCTGCGCCCTGTACGAAGCTCTGCGCCTCCCTGTTGAAAACTAGGGACGATCCAAACATAATATTCCTCCTTTGGGCTCGCATTATTCTAATATCGTTTGCGAGTCCCCGATCCGGAGACCCCTTAACCTCGATAATCGAGTGATCGTCGCCCCCCTCGTTTCGTGCTCTCTCGACCCACAGAGCCGCCTACTACCCTCGACGCACGCACCCGCGTTCCGAAGCCGCGAGCACACAACGGCCAAATAAAACTAGACTATTTTCTACGAGCGTACGAGAATTCCTCACCGGCGTTACATCCCGACGATTGATCGCGTTTTATCTTGCCAGGGACCAGGGATACACCGTGTTTGGTCCTGCACGTCCTACTTACTCGTTGCCTGCGAGTCCCGTCTTAGAATTCGGAATCCCGGCTTCGCGGAGGCAGCCGGTGCGCGAGATAAAAAAAGGCGTGGGTCGCGTACACGTCGCAAGGATATATGGATATTCGATAATCATTTTTCACAGCCGGCTTTGTTTATACTCCGCTCTACTTATATAACGTGTGTATAGTCATCGGCGCATCGTATAAAACGGCGTGCGACGGGGGGTAAATTACTTTCCCGTTGACCCGGTGCAGACACTCCACTTAACATCTAGGCGATAAGCGTTTTCCACGCCGGCTCGAGGGTTTTACGGTTCCTTTACACGCAATTACGCCCCGTTTCAACCTATCCTCTCATTGATAGACTTTTACCTATGCGCCGCGGCGTGTCGTTTACCTTTGATCGACGCCCGTTCAACTCCGTCGCTCCCGGTGTTGCACTTTTCAGGTTCAATTCACTCGCGTTACGTAAGTGATTGATCGCGGGACTGTTTGAGACCGAAATTCTAACGTTTGAGAGTGCAACACCGGCTCGGCTCGAACCGTTCGCGAGATCACCGTATCGGTCGGTTTCTGTGCAGGAGTTACGGGCCAAGAGACCTTTTAAGATATGGGACAGCTGGCGTAACGTGAGAAAGGGACTGTGTGTTAGCACTTTCGAGGAACTGGTACATCAAGGTAAGAAACATACCCCACAGCCCGGAGACTGATTATAATAGCTGCGCTTCAAGCGTAATTGCACGCGCGTAACAGAACCCTCGTTTTTGATCCCTGCGTAAGAGCCGATACCGCGTTCGTTCTATGTGACCTGTACTCTCTCTTTTCGGGACACACTCTTTTTTTTCTTTTCTGTCTAATGAAGAACACCATCGTAATCGAATATAAGAAGGGACTTGAGAACGGACCTCGATCGCACGAAAGCGTACGCGAGGATTCTCAAATGGAAAAGATCCATTACGAGAACAGAGGTTCCGATCGTTGCCTGATCGTTCGTCGCTCGTCTTCTTCCAGGCAAAGAGAAGCTGGGCGTGCCACAGAACGAGAATGTCTCTGTAGTGTTGGAGTCGGACGGGACGCAGATAGAGGACGGGGAGTACTTTAGGACCTTACCAAACAACACGATCCTTCTGTTGCTGAGGCATGGTGAACACTGGTGTAAAACACCACCCGGGGTCGACATCATACGCGCTGGTATCTATCAATCCGATCCCATCTCGCTTCGAACTCCTACGATCTCGTTCTCTAAACCGAAAACCTTTGTTGCGTCACAATAATAATAACAATAATAATGATGATGATCTCGGCGAGCGAAAAAGTATCGGAGTCGCTTTTACGAGCGAGCAAAGTCGAACGCGACGCTCTTTCCCCAAGAATAGCCCCGGTAAACGTTCTCCGTTCCGAGTCCGAGAGCTATTTTTATGGGGTACCTTGGACTCGTTGAACGTTCTCCTCTCCTAGAGACTCACCCGTGGAATTACAGATCGGAAGCGTTCGAAGCCATTGTAACAGGATTTAGACTGGAGATCTTACGCAGTCAATGAAACTCCTGTCTAAATCCGATTTGAAAATCGATACAACCTCGAGGGAAACAGCCGCGGCCTCGCGATCGTATAATCACCGATTGTCACCGTTTGCAGCGATCTCGGCGATTCCGAAAATAGTCTGCGAGACGATCCACGCCCTGGAGCTGCACGATGAGACGCCCTCGTGGAAGATCATGGACAATAAGGGACGGGTCACGGTGGTGCTGCACTGGGACCAGCGATCGTCGACGTCGTCCCAGGGGCAGCAGCAGCAGAAGGGTCAAGACGTGCAGGCCTCCAAGTACTCGCCGACCAAGAAGACCGATCTGAGCGGTGGCCAGCGGCCGCCGTTGGTCATCCAGACGAGCCTCGACCAGCTCAACTACGGGGGGAAGCTGGGACACCTGGCGGCGGAGGTCGGGCCGAGTCGATACACCAGCCCCCATATCACTGTGATAAATCATGACGACATGGTACGAGATCGTCGCTACCCGCGAGACGTCCGCGGTCAGGCAACGGGACCGATTTCAGAACAGAAATTGCAATTCTAATTCGATTGAACGATCTGGTTTCCGAGTCTGCCTAAATCGAAAGGACCCCGTGTGACACGCCTACGTAGATTTTAATTTGGAATCGGTTTCGGATCGGCGGACCGCGACGTCTCCCATTACGATTTGCCACGAGCTTTTTTTTTTGTTAGCGCACGAAACGAAATTTGACGGGGCGAGGTTTCCGGGTAACGAGTTCGATCTCGACGGGCGCAGTGGACGACGCCGCTTGCACGTTCCGACTTCCGGCCCAGGACCGCTGTCAGAGGCGGACCACTCGGAGCCCGGAAGCCTCGAGTACCCTCTTCTCCTCTCTGTCTCTCTGTCTCTCTCTCTGTCTCTCTGTCTCTCTCGAACCTAGAAAACAATCCAAAAGAGAGGAGGATAGAAAGCAAAGATAAAATTAAAATGGTCGCACGACACAGCAGCAGCAGTCGTCCGGGCTGCAGCCGCAGCCGCAACCGCACGGGATCCCGGGCAGGCTGGTGAAGCAGGGTACCAACTCGTTCGACAGCACCACGATCCATATCCACACGCCGGAGTGCTCTAACCACATCCATCAGCCGGTGGCGAGGAACGGGAGCCCGGTGAACGGCGCCGACGGTGGTCCCAGCGGCGAGTGCGACTTCCACTGCTGCGCGCTCCACGAGGAAGGACGGAGGATCGCCGTTCACAAGTCGGTGGCCACCTCGCCGATCCAAGACGCCCAGCATCAGCAGTACCACCACCACCCGCACCAGCAGCAGCCGCAGCAGACGCAGACGCAGACTCCCTCGCCGCAGCCGCCCTCCTCGTTGTCCGACGGCACGAGACGGACGGGACTTAGCAAGGGCCACGTGCGTTTCTGCGACACGGCCGACGAGGAGTCCAGCTCGAGAATCAGCGGATCGGCCGGTGCCGGCGGTTTCCATCTGCCGCATCATCAGAACCATCACCAGGAGCACGACAGCTCCGAGTCCGAGACCGAGAACACGATGATCGAAGATGAGATCGTCACCTCGGAGAAGTTTCTATTGCTGATCGATCAGCTGACCGTCGATCAGAAGCATCTGAGCATCAAGGATATCGGGATCATCCTAGAACGGCTCAGCTCGAAGATCCTCGACGTCGAGCGGCTGGATCGCGAGAGCGAAAGTGAGGAATGTTACAACTGGACGATCAAGGCGATCATCAGGGGCGACGTGTTGAGGGAACTGGGTGTCATCTACAACGGGAACTACTACGCGATCTCGGAGCATCCCGGATACAAGGAGGAGTCCGAGGAGAATAACGAAGATAACGAAGAGGAAGAGGAGGATAGACTTTAATATGATGCTGTTTCTCTAGATAGATAGATAGATAGATAGATAGATAGATAGATAGATAGATAGATAGATAGATAGATAGATAGATAGATTATACACTTATTAATGGATATTATTAATAATAGTACGTACGGAGGGGGACGATTCGGATAACCGGGAGTGCGGAGAGCGAGGTCAATGACGGAAGAGAGGAGGGGGCGTGGGTCGACCGTGTGAGATTCAGATCGTAGGTTTTCCGGATACACCGCGCGCGGGGGACGTGAACTTTTTTTTCAAATGTTTTCGTAATAAAAACCGAGAGAGAGAATGACTCTGGATAAACGAGGCAAGATGATAAACTAATACGATAACATTATAAACTTAGTTTTAAAAACGGTTGTTGAAATATGTATTATTAAATAGTATGTATACATGTAGAGAACATTTTTGGGATTACGGACGAGGGTTCCGTAACCGTCCACACCACTGCCCGAACGACAAAAATAAAGAATCGACGGAAGAGCGTTGACGAAAGAAAATATGAGAGAGCGAGAGCGAAAGAGAGGAGAGAGGAGGAGGAGGAGGACAAGGCAAACGGGAGAGACACGCGTGATTACCTGGGAGATTCTCGCGTCGGAGTCGGGCTCTCGTTTTCGCTCTGTCGGAGTGACGACACCGTCTCTGTCCGGTGTACGAGAAAAATGTTGTTCCTCGCCAGTCTGTAAGAAACGAATTAAATCAACTGCCCGACTCTCGTTATACGGTGAAAAAGATACACACACACACATACACACACACACACACACACACAGACACGGAGATACACACGTTGCTCCACACACGCCATACTCACACACGCGAGGGGGAGAGAGAAAATACGTACACACCCGCGACACGACGAACCGTGTATCGCGAACCTTAATGTCTGATGTCACGTTAGCGTTTTACGCGACGTGCATAAGTGATATAAGCATGAATCGCGCGCCGTACATATTGTTGGGCGTGTGGGAGTAGAAGGAAGAATTTGCAATTTTAATATATTTCTATTGTAAGTATATTTGACACGACGAAAAACTAGTCTCGAAACGTAACGCAACGCGACGTCGTGCGAAAAATTGTCACACTTTATACATAACGTGTATATATATACTATATATATATATATACACACTATATATATATATAAATATATGCATAAAGGATTACTCCGTAGAGAGGACTCGGTGCTCGACATTAAGAAATAGGGAAGTCGCGTTCAGTTCTCCGTTTGGTTTATCCGGTGTAGGCGGAACGGTTTCTTCGGGACGCTACGTTCTATCCTCGATCTCTTCGATTCCGAAGCTCGTTTGAATCGCACGGCGTACTACCGTTACGCCTCGTTTACTACAGAGAGAACGAAATTTGTTTCAACGAGAGTCGTTAAGCCTTACCGTATCGAACGTTGCATCGATCATCGGACGGAACCGTCGCATCGGGCGTTGCGATGCTCGTTACACGAAATGTTGATCTTTATCACGGCGTACGATGCAAATGAGTTAAGGGGAGCTCGGAGAGCGAGGAAGAACGAGACGAGAAACCGTGGGGGATGAGAAACAAGGGAGCGCCTGAGCGAATGAGAGAGAGAGAGAGAGAGAGAGTGAGAGAATGTGCGAAAAGGGATAAGACGTCTTTTGTCGCGCGGAAATGGATGTTCTTTTTTTTCTTCCAGCCGATTTAGCGGCGGGGGGAGAGGGAGAGAGAGAGAGAGTGCGTGCGTGTGTCTATGTGTGCGCGCGCGCGCGCGTATGCTTTTACGAATTTAACGTGCTCGAGGACGACGAGTTCTTCCGAGGGACGCGCGTTTGCGAGTCTCTTCTTTCGTAGTGCCACTTGAAGACATGCAAATTCGAGGCGAAGGGGAGTAACGAATAAAAAAAAAAATAAAAGGATTGTTATAAGTTGTAACTGTTGTTTTTGGTACGTGCGTACGAGGGAGAATGATTTGTAGCCTTCATCCTTTGATCCTTTGCGCGTTCTCAGCTTCCCTCCCCGTTCGAGGAAAGAGAGAGAGAGAGAGAAAGAGAGAGAGCGACCATCTAGCCGATGCGATTACCTCTGCGCGAAGAGTGTGCGAAAGGGCGATGCGTGCGAATGAGAGGATAGATATGCGCGTGTGGGTCCTATCGATTGTCGCACCGCGATCGCAATTGAAGGTAAGGGCGGAGGAGGATTATATATATACATATACATACATATACGCATATACGCGCGGCCGAGTGGGTAAAATAAAAGATGAGAGAGGAATAAAAAAAAAAAAAAGGAAGAAGAGAAGAAGTGAAAACAAAACGTTAATTCGGAACACGAGTCTTCCCTCGCGCGAGACGACTCGTCTCGTGCCACGAGAATTACACGAAAGAGACGTAAAATAATTACGATGTGCAATCCTATTACGTACACTGTCGAAATGAAACATAACAAGAAAAAAAAAATATGTAGCACGAGAGTTAAGGTTTTTTAAGTGACTGACTTTTTTAACGACGTTTTATCACGTTACGGAGTATTATTATATATATAAATATATACATACGGACGAATATAAATGATTATAAATACATCGTATATATAAATATAAATATATACATAAATATATATATATATATATATGAAAACGAATATACACACACGAGACACGTTACACACGCATTACGTACTACCTATATTAATAGCGTAAAGAAACTGTGTGCGTGCGAGGGAGTGTCTGACGAGTGCCAACAAGAAAGAATGTAAATAATAAAGAATCATATGATACATGAGATGTGCAGCGTTCGCAAACAATCTCAAGCTGAACTATTTTCATTTTCACGATTCTTAGGGTCGACCTTCCGTTCTTTTCTCTTCATTTTGCAACGTCGAGAGAGGTGCCGCGTTCTCCCGGGGATTACGCCCGGAGTTTCTCATCGATTCGTGAAATACGATAACGTCCCACGAACCCGAGATCACCCTATCCTTCCCTGTTTAGATCTCGGTCGATGCCTAAATTGCGAGAGGACCACGCGAATAATCCCAGGCCCTCAGAGACAAGAGAACGTAAAATACTGATCACTGTGGCGATTCACGTTTCTCCCGGTCAGAGATCGCTTCAAGGATCTCTCGTATCGTTAGACGGAACTCTGCTGCATCGAAGAACCATCAATCGACCGTAATAGGTACAACTCTCACGGCCAGAACGCTTCTCTTTTTAATTCGTTTATCGCCAACAGCTTTTCGCCAACGAGCAACCTGTTACGTCGCTTTACACCGCGTGCTCGCGGCCCACGATTCTCTTTTACGAGGAGCAACTTGGATTTTGGAAAACCGACGCACGATTCTTTCGGTAAAACTAAAATTCTGTCAGAAGCCAGGACGAGAGGCAATCACCGCTCTGTCCACGAGGTGAAAATGTACGAAGATCAATACGGATCAAAGATCACGTGCATACGGATACAAAAGCGGTGATCGCCGTTAGGGCCATTGATATCTAAAGTCATCGATGAGAAGTCGAAAATATTTTTAACTC